AATTAAGTCCAAAGGTGACTAAAGGAAAAGGTCTTGATTTTATAGCCTGACTTTTTCCTTCAGCCTATCTCATTGATTGTTGAGATATTATGCTAAATGTCCATAGTTTTGTCTGTGGCGTGGTATAGTAACTTAATGAAAACATATCAGAGTATTACACTTTTAAAAAAATACATCAGCGTCAATTTTTTGTTTGGTGCCTCTTTCAGCTCTAATTCTGGGGATTTCCTCTTCTAAACATGTGTCTTGTCTACCAATCGATAATATCACTCAAATGCATTAACAAATTAGCGTAAACGTGTGTCATTTTCCTTCCCATGCCAACTGTCAAAGAAGTATTGTAATCTCTAAATTTTCGAAAATAACGTCTTTCTGGTATTTTATGAAATGTGCCTACATTACAAGCAACTCTGTCATTTTCGTCGGTCTGTCTGTCTGTCGCCCTGTCCGCTGATCCTTGGAACCGCTATATATTGAAAGGTACATTTCGAACTTTGATGAAATTTTAACACAAGGTTACTTACAGTATATTCAGATAAGAGATAGACCGGATGTAAACAAAAGGTTCGGGTGATTTTCACGCTAACGCCGCCGTCTCGACGTAAAACAGGAGCCCTCATTGGTCAATTCGCAATTAAATGCCTATGCCGAGCGGCAGAGCAGTCGTATCAAGGCAGAGTCACATTCAGGTTCAGACGTGTTACGTATGTCGTGTGCAATTTGATATTTCTTTGGACGTTTTCGTTTGTTATCTTATTAAGTTGTTGAGTTTGTCGTTGTTATTGTTATACCTTGTTATTGATTGTTATTGTTATCAACTGCTTGCGCAAAATGCCCAGTAGTACAGATACTGCCGATGAAGTTGTAAACTCCTGTAGTCCACCTAGGAAATGCTCTAAAAAAAGACACCTGAGTGCAGAAATGAAAGAGGTCATTTTGAATATATATAAGATCGAGCGCGAGGAGAACGAAGCATCAACCATCAAAGAAATTGTTGTGAAGGTTTCTCACAAAGTTGGGGTGTGTCGCGCATCAGTGTTTAATGTGTTAAGACAATACAAAAAAAATCACACCTTTTCTGAGCCAATGACCAGTAAACATCACAAAAGTATTGTTAAATCATTGGATGAAGCTGATAAGCATGCGATTAGGAGGAAAGTGCATGAATTCTTCTTTAGGAATGAAATACCTACTATAGATAAAGTACTGCAGGAGGTAAATGGAGATACAACGTTGCCAAATTTCAAACGATCAACTTTCCATGCGTTACTGAAGCATTTAAATTTCTAATTAAAAAAACGAGGTCGTAATAGTTTACTACTGGATAGAGAAGAAATTGTGCTATGGAGGAGGGATTATTTAACAAAAATTGGGAAATATAGAAATCAAAACAGGAAGATTTATTACCTTGATGAAACGTGGGTAAACGCAGGACACACTACAAGTAAATTATGGGTTGATGATTCTGTAACTTCATCCAGGAGGGCCTTTCTAGATGGACTGTCCACCGGATTAAAAAATCCAGCAGGTAAATACGAGTAATAGACAACAATCGGATGTTTTTCAAACCTTGGGAACAAGGTTCTAAACATTAATTCCAGGGGGCAGATAAAACATATTACAAGTAACAAAATTTTTATAACTTTTGATAAAATGCGTGGATGTTTTATTGTCATTTTCATTTGTTAGAACTTTTTTAAGCCATGTTTTTATGTGTTTTCGATATTTCAATAATTTTTTAATATAATCTTAAAATATGTCGAATATTATAAACTTAAAAAAAGTTACTAAGTTTTATATTGTGTACCGTTCCTAATATTTCTAATCATTTTAATTCATACTTTAAGCTTTATAAAGTTATAATTTGTTAATATTAATATTTGCGCGTATTTCAGGTTCCTGATCATTCATTTTTTAAAGGTTTATAACTTTAAATTAAATTGTGAAGCGCTGAGTAATCATACGACATTCAATATTCTTTCTTTCAATATGACTAAATAATCCCAATTATAGCAATCTGATACTCATGTCTCAATGTTTTTTCGCTGAATGTGATGAAAACATTTGAAAAAGGTTCGCTTATTGAAATAAATCTACACCAGTTAGTACTTCGATTTCCAGGTAAAGGGAAAAGGCTCATTATCTGCCATATTGGCAGTGAGGATGGATTTGTTTTTGACGGTCTGTGGTGCTTTGAGTCTAAAAAAACTGGAGATTACCACGAGGAAATGAATGGCGAATCGTTTGAACAGTGGTTTTCAAAAATTTTACCGAACTTAGAGGAAAACGCAGTAATTGTGTTGGATAATGCGTCTTATCATTCTCGAAGAATGGAAAAGGTCCCAACAACGGCTTCAAGGAAGGTTGATGTTCAAAATTGGCTCCGCTCGAAAAATATCAACTTTGAAGAAGCAATGCTGAAAGTACAATTATTAAGAATTGTCAAGGATCACAAGGCGGAATATCAAAAATACGCCATTGACGAAATGGCAGCAAGTCAAAATAAAACTGTGCTCCGTTTACCTCCATACCATTGCGAGCTCAATCCCATTGAGCCCATATGGGCAGAGGTTAAAAATTATATAGCTAAGCATAATACAACTTTTCAATTTTGTGACCTCAAAGGACTTTTCAAAGAAGCACTAGAATTAATAACAGCGCAAAAATGGGAAAACTGTATTAAGCACGTGAAAGACAAAGTTGAAAAGAGAATGTGGGAACTGGACAATATTTTAGAGGAACAAATCGAGCCATTCATTATTGACGTTGGTGCTTCTGACAGTAGCGATGATGAAAGCTCATCAAGCTCATCTTTCCAATAAAAGATGTCGTTCATCAAATTCAGTAAGTTATAAGTAATTATAAAGCTACTGTATTTTTTAATTAATTATTGACATTTATGAACCCATTTTGGCAAAACCTATTCAAGAATCTACTTACTGACAATGTTCAACCATGCACATTTTTTTACGTTTTGAACGTTTTAATTTGGTTACATATTTACCTAGAAATCAAAAAATATACTCATCAATATTCTAAAAGCAATTTTAAGAGATATACGATTATTTTTAATTTAGGCTAATTTAAACGCCATTTTGAGATTATATTCGACTGTATTTCACCAAACATCAGGCGGCTGGAAATCGAAGCGAAAATTTTGAAACCCTTATGTATATTTACATCATTATATATTTCTTACCCCACCCCCACATGATCCTATATCCATCACCAATCGTATACACATCGAATTGTGCTAATTTACTACAAAGTTACGCAAAGCAGCATCTACTATCTAAAATATGTACTGCGTGACTCTTAATACGTCCCTGTCGAATGTTGCAGCGTTCGATGATCACGTGGTCTTGTTTATGTAAGGTCTATCTCTTATCTGAATATACTGTAGTAGTATCTATATTACGGGCGATAAATTTTTATACGAGGTTGTAAATTAAGCGATGAGACTTGCAACGTAGCGTTCGATCTGGCAGCACTGGAGCTATCGGGCTTGGAGGGGAGACAGGGGAACATGTGATCCACCTTCAGTACAAGTTTGGACTCGCTCGAGATAGCCGTAGCGATTGTTTATGTGAAACAAATTGTATTCAAAAAATGAATAACATCAATTTTGAGCAACGACGTGCGTCAGACTTGAGCATGGAATCTCTTGCTAAACTTCGGGGGTATTTTGTCAACAGCCCAGATTTTTCGGTGGTTTGAAGCATTTTTAGTAGGGAGGGAGTCGATTTAAGATGAAGCATGGAGCGCAACGCCTTCATCTTCAAGAACCGATGAAAATATCAACAGAATCCGGGATCTTCTAGATTTAGATCGTCGGTTGATAGTCAGAATGGTCGAGGAAGAGTTAAATTTGACTCACACCACCGTTCATCAGATCAAGAACAACTGAGTGTTTCATCATGATGATGCTCCTTGTCACACAACAACGTCAATAATCGAGTTTTTGCCAGTAAAAACATTCCTGTGGCTCCTCAGCCTTCTTATTCGCCTGACTTGAGTCCTCGTGACTTTTTTGTCTTATCGAAGTTGAAGAAAAATCACATTAAGGGAACTCATTTTGTGACAGTCGAAAACGTTCAAACGGATGTAACCTATCAGAAAGCTATTCCAGTACCGGAGATCGAGCATTGTTACGGGGAGTGAAAGAACCGTCTCCAGCGCAGTGTGGTTTCCGAGGGAAGTTATTTTGAGGGTGACAACATAGAATTGTAATTACATTTGAAAAAAAAATAAGTCTCATCACGGAAAAACTCGTGCAAAAAATGAAAAATCCTTCCAACTTTATTTCTTAGCATTTCAGAAGGTTCTGTTCACTTTTGGTATTCTTTTGATGGAAACAAATTGTCAGTGGATGGTTGCAGGGAGTGAGATATGTCTTTTTTGTGTTGATATACTTATACCCTTTTATTCCCCGTAATTCTACACACTTATTAGATGTACTCCACACGTAAAAAGCAATATTTGCAATACCCGCGTCGAACAAGGAAAACAGTAGCATAACCCTGCCGTAACCTGGTTGTTGTTACTAGCGGGATTGGCATCCTGTAAGGTCGTCAACGCTAGCCAGCGATGTAAACGAGAAATGATATGATAATAATAAATATTAGTGAACACTGATTAGCTACAAATGTTTGCGGCAGTGTTGATTTAGGTTCGGTGTCACGATATAAGGTTTACAGCTCTGTAGTGATACTGCTGAATCGCAGCCTTGACTTTTCTCTATGAGGGGCTAATTTGTGCCAAGCAGAATCTCTCATAAACTGATGAAAGCGTGCGTGGGAAGCTCAGATTAAACCTACTTGGTGCCATCCTTTTCTAAAATAGCAGTGATTAGATACGGGACAAAGGTGAAGGCTTCGGATTTTTCGGTTTTCTACGGAGGTATACAGTATACCAATGCTCTTCCATAATATTTGATTATATGCCACTACGTTCGTTCCCAACATTGATCAAGGCAGCTCTGGCACTAGCATTGGACTTACCATATCCGCAGATTAATTAACTGACACACAGCTCAACACACTTGTGAATTTTTCACGTAACAGCAAATTCGATGCCTTTGATATCAATCTCTGTTTACACACATCGGCAAACTAACTCCGATACACAAATCTATGGATACATCAATGGTGCATCTATCTGAATGTAAACTCGAACGGTCTGATTATACTGGAGATAGCACAGCGATTCTAAATTACAGGTTGGAGTTGTACATTGAAGTGGGGCGTGGAAATAATCCAGAAAACCGATAAAATAGGGGCGTCAAGTAGGTGGACTCTGCACTTTCTGTATCATTTGAAGCTTTAAGGGACGCTGCACGGGGAATTCTATGAAGTGTGAAACATGTCTAATGCCTACGTAGAATCACCAGGGCTTGAAGTGTATAAATATATTAGCACCAAAAAAGTTGAGATATATAATAATAATAATAATAATAATAAAGGGTCTTTATTGCACTAAACATTTAGTACATTCCGAGGGGCGAGGTTTAGCGTGAGCTATTCTTCCACCTAACCCCGTTTTGATAATTTATACGAAATTACATAGAAATGGATTACATTAACTATGGTACATACATTTAAATCGGTTTGTTTTAAACCAACAAAACTGTGATCAAAGGGATTTGTTTTAAAATCAACCATCATCAACCAATAAAAAAAATATAAGTGGCAATTCATGTTTGCGAGAGAAGATCGGACTTTTGATTTAAAAGTTTTAATATTCGCAATATTTTCAAAATAAAAATTAATACTGTTGTAATATTTAACGGCATTGTAAATAAAGGTTCTTGAATATAAAACAGTACGGTGGACTGGCAGTTTAAAGAAAGCCTGATGCCTTGTATTAATATTATGCGTGCTGGATCTGGTAATAAATTTTTCAAACAGGTATGGAGGTGATGCGGATAGTAAAATACGATGCACAGAACTTATAACAGAATATTTGTATAGATTATCTATAGTTAACCAATTGAGGTCAGAATACGTATGCGATATATGATCAAATTTCCTCAAATTACTTATGTACCTACTACAAGTATTTTGCATTATTTGTTTACGTCTTTTATTCGCAGCAGTTAGGCAGGGGTAATAAATTATTAGCCCATACGAAATCTTAGACAATACCAAGCTTTCACATAGCTGTTTTTTCAATTGCTTACCAGTGATGCAATTGTTTGCAAATAGAAGCCGGAGCGAACCGTAACATTGCCTCAAAACGTGCTGTAAGTGTTTTTCAAACCTCAGGTCTTCATCTAAATGTAAGCCCAAATTTTTGGCACATTCTGAATAAGGGATGATTTTTCCTTCGATTTGAACGTCAATTTTGCTTATAAGATTTGCTCTTATTTTGATATTACCAAATAGCAAGGCTTTACACTTCGATGGGTTGAGCTTGAGGTTTTGTAACTTGCAATAGCGGCTAATACTTGACAAATCTTCATTGATTTGGTCTTGGGCTTCAGAGTAGCGCGAGGCTGGAAAATCATACTTGACCTGAGTGTCATCGGCAAAGAATTGCACATGATAGTGCTTGATAGTATCTTGAAGATCCGCGGTGTATAACAAAAAAAGCAATGGAGCTAATACGGAGCCTTGAGGTACTCCGGACTGAACTTTATTTGGCAAATCCCATCAACCACAGCCACTTGCGACCGATCACTTAAATATGACTTGATGAGCTTACAAGCAAGATCATCAAAGCCATAGTAATGACATTTGGCTACAAGCAGTTTGTGATTCAATGTATCAAATGCCTTCGAGGAATCTAAAAGGACAAGAGCACACAAGTTTTTATTGTCAAGCGCGGAAATTATGCCATCGATCAAGTCCACTAAAGCCGTAGTAGTGCTATGATTTTTTTTAAAACCCGATTGATGAACACTTATATTATTTTTGTCTAAGTACTCGTAAATCTGGATATAAGCTGCGCGTTCCAGTATTTTGGATAGAAAAGGCAAAAGACTTATCGGTCGTAGGTCGTCAAATGACAAAGGATTCGAAATTTTAGCGAGTGGTTTTACCATTGCTGTTTTCCACGCGCTTGGAAAATAGCCTCTCTCTAAGCATAGATTGATAATGTGCAACAAATAAAGATTTATAGCGGGATAGCATAATTTTAACATTCGCAACGTAACTCCGTCATTACCAGATGCATTGGAACCAATATGACTGATTATAAATGCTAAGCTTGTCAAGTCAATTAAATTGAAAGAAAACCTCTCAAAACTATGTCTGTTGTTACGATAATGAATTATTTTGTCAATACATTGTTAAAAATTGAGGTAAAGTAATCATTCACTTTATATGGATTGGAAAGGTGGACCGGAATGTTCGGAGGCTCTTTATTACTTTGTATGTGCATTTGTTTCAATGATTTGTAAAGAGATTTAGGGTTTCTTTTTTTATGTAGATGTTCCAAATAGGCTGATTTTTCTTTGCGTGATGCTAGCAAGCAGTAATTTCTGAGGCTTTTATAGCTGTTCCAGTTTTCTTCTGATGGATCCATTTTATATTTGGAGAGAGCTTCACCCCTTTCCCTGAATAACATTTGTACGTTTGCAGTACGCCAAGGCGCTTTTGGCTTTGTGACTCGTACTCTTCGTTCAGGACAGTGCAAGTCAAAAAGTGACAATAAGTTTGACGTAAAAAACTCAACTTTGCTTTCTATGTCGCTGAAGTAAAGTATGCTTTCCCAGTCTATCCGATAAAGGTCATTATCAAATGCCTCTAAGCTAATGTTGTTAAAGTCTCTGTATGTTACAAATTTTGGTTCACATTTGATTGAACATTTAACATCACAATATACCATCTGATGGTCACTAAAGCTATCAGCATTCATTGTACCACTAGAAACATATGAAGTAGAAGAACTTATAAATATAGGATCTAATAATGTAGAAGTTGTCTCTGTTATTCTAGTCGGTTCACTTATAATTTGGGTCATACCATATATTTAAAAACAATCATTTATTTTATTTTCCACGAGCATGTTAATATTAAAATCACCCAACACCAGTATATTGTCATATTCGCTTATGAGTTGTGGTAGTAGATTATCCAAGAATTCTAACATACTTGATAAGTTTTCATTTGGAAGCTTATAAATAACTCTTACACAGTAACTTGTATTACCAATTTTAAACGAGAGAAACAGAAATTCTATTTTCAGCTCGTTGTAGCTATTATTATCAAAGCTCAGTACCTGTACATTGCTAACAGTATCGCTCTTTATAAAAATAGCAACACCTCCACCTCTACCCTGCCTATCGCATCTAAATAAGTTAAAACCTCTTATGCTAACAACATCTGAAGGGATATTATCAGCGAGCCACATTTCGGATACACCAACTATGTGCAAGTCATTATCCTCTACCAATGATTTGAAACAATCAAAACCGGAAACCAACGATCTTGCATTAACATGAGCAATCCTGAGATTTTTAAGCTTTTGTTTATTTCCCATAGTTTATTTTTGCCCTCAAATTATTAAAGTGACTTTGTAATATTGGACAATCATTCTGATTGAATGATGAGTGATTGATATGATATGCTCCCTCGCTCGTTACAACCTCCAAACCCCAATAGTTAACTCCTATATTTCTTGTGAAAATGATCAGGAGGATCAAAAGCGTCGAAAACAAAGTTACAGCTATTTTTTATTTTTTGACTGTAGCTCCGTCGCCACTCGATCGATTTTTAGAAACTACAAAGCGTTTTCATTCTTGGCATAGTGGTAACTCTGTTTCATCAATTCGACCGGTACTTTCCAAGTTAAAGTGAGACCCATGAATAGGGGAGAGGCAGACGGTAATTACTGATATGTTTTTCGCTATGGCAATGTTTCCTCGCCAATTGGCGCTGAAAGTGAAATGATATCGAGTAGATTGACACCCTAATTCCCACCCAATGCTGTAATCAGTTCATAGGGACTATATTTGGTCCATAAAATTGTGACTACTATTACTTTCGAACCCTAATGTGAATACGGAATGATTCGAAAGAGCAACATAACATTAGTAAAGTCCTAGAGACCCCAAGCCTAGACCATGCTGAGATGTAGCCGAAAAGCACGAAGCAGCTATGCATGGCTGGCTGTCTTTGATCGGACGGACCTAAGCAGAACATTTTTATTTTATTTCTTCAGCATTAGTGACGTCACGCCCGTTTATAATAATATGTTTGAGGCTATAATTAATTGTCACGGCGCCTATATCATATGTCATGCGATGAGCTGACTGGTTTGCGAAACGCATTCTTCAATAGCCTAAGCACCGATGGCATTAAGAAGAATCCAAATTTTCCACTAAATTTATTTTGTGGCTGAAACACTGGTACCATGTCTCACAATCTTCCTGCATCTTTTCAACATAAACTGGCACTCCGTCCCGGAATATTCCATTCTACTACGAGTAACTTTTGGATAATGAATGTTTGAAATGAGGCTTTTCGGCAACCAGGAGGTACATCAGCGTTATCACGTAAAAAAAACTGTATATTGTCAAAAAGACGATGAGTTATCAGCTTGTTGACTATACAGTTGGTGGTATGCAAATAGTTCATTCCGCGCCTGTAACAAGTGAGCATGCAGTGAACGACAGCTAGCTCCTAGTTCACATCTTGTACGACAACCTACATAATCTCATAAAAAAGCCTATATAATATCAAAAAACGTATATAATCTCACTTTTCAATTTACGTAAAACCTACCTCCTTTAGCGCTCTGTAGAGCTCTATACCGCGGCCCGCCCTCCTTGCGAGGATGGCGGGGTCCTTGCAAAGTTGATAATGGCCTTAAGCTTTAGCTTGTTGACGTTGTGAAGACCCATAATATTGAATGCTAGAAGTGCCCCGCGGCGGCACAGGAGATGCGATATAGCCTCCTCCTTTAGATTGCAACACGCATACATGGGACATTGGGGTACCTCTATCACATTCCGGAGACGTTTGCACGTGCTGCAGCCATATGATGGTACCACCAGCGACATTGTCTCTATTTAGCGATAATCAAAAAGGTCAATCCTCAATACTAGGCACTAAATTGAGCTCCCTTTCCTGGCGGAGGTGGTTGGAAATGCTGCTTAATTACATTGTTTGTATATACTCTATATATTATCCTCCCGTTTCCGGGGCTGGCTCAGGACTAGCAAGTCTGCCTCTACTTCTGGATGAATTTTTTTCTTCAGTACGAAAGGCCAGTTTAAAAAATGGACCTATGTTAGGTGCGCCATCTCCTGTGAGGTGCATGAAACCATATATGATGAAAACCTTGAGTGTAAGAGTTCTAATTATTTTCAAAAGAACTCAACAGGTTAATAAGCATAGCTGGCCTTCGCCGAGTTTAAAATAAAGGCGTTTTTATTTATTTATTTAATAATGTCTTTTAGCTTGCTCATCAATGCTGTGTTTTGTCATTTGAAGAAAGCAAGTTATAATTTTATTCAACCAATTACAAGAACTCAGTGGTAGTATGGAAGGTTGCGTGTTCTTCACCCTTCAATAACTCTATCTCATCTGCAGAAAAATAGATTTCACAAGCAAAATGCTAGATTCGTCTGCCAACATGTTAAGCTTGTGATTGACTGTCGCGCTGCTATCCACTATTGGATTATATCGAATTATGTTCTTGAAGTTAGTATTGTAAAGTTCTGATGAGCAATCAGGGTGTAAACCCTTTGACGAAGCAACTTATTTAGCACCAACTAGCAGTACTTGCGTCGAAGAGGACGAAGTTTTAAATTTCTGAAACTCGAAGCACCTTTCAACCGCGAATGACACGGAACAACATAACATGCACAGAACATGAAATGAGAAGTGTATCCAGCTGCTTATAGCGCCATCTAGCGTTTCCTGAAAGGTACTTTGATCTGTATCCATTACAGTGCATTTAACCTTTCTCCCTAGCCCCTCCTGGCTTTTAGGGCCGTATCGTCAGACTTCCTACAATTGGAAGACGCCTTTATTTCCAGATATCTACTGTTCCCTGTCAGCGCTCTCCTAAATAAAAAATAGTGTTTTCTTTTTGAATTGTAGGAAACTTCAGTCTGATAAAGCAGTTGGTAAACATCAAAGGCATGAACAATTTGATGCAAATAGATATCTGTAGCATAACCTCAAAGTTGAGCGCCTTTCTGAAGGAGAGGAAAGACTATGAAAATAAAGGAGGCCATAAAGGCGTTCTACAATTGTAGGAACGGCTGACGATACAGCCCTTAAACACTGTCTGCTGATATTCATCACATCCTTTCGACATCTACGATGGCGGATAACTGTAATGACGTGATCACAACTGTAGACGTTTTCACAGGAATTGTTTAGCTAATAACTAGAAAAATCATCTTCTTCAAATACAAGGTTTCGTTCTATTCCCTTCATGTACTACGGCTGCAAACAGAAAGATATCGCATCCTCTGTATTAATTCATACAGTTAACTAGTTCATCATTTTCAATGCTATTTATAGTATTTTATCTATTTAAAATGCATAGTGTAAGGCTGTCGCTTTTAAGCAAGATGCTTTAACGAGAATTTAAAATGCCTTCGGAGACATGAACGAAGTATATTGCTTTACCCTTCCGCGTCCATTTATATTTAAATCCAAGGGTAAGATGACGGTCGTAAAATTATTTTGGCTTGCAAATTAAGCTCCTTTTCGGTTGATGGGAGGGACCAGCCCTGTTCTGTTGTTGCAGATATTAGGGTGACCCGTGCACCGAAGTATTCATCAGATTGACTGGGCAGATACGGGGTGATCTTGAAATCAAGCACACCTGAACATGTTCAAATAATATTTAGTTCCATAGGAGATTAAAGACCCATCCTAGATCTCGACGCCCGCCCTCCTAGTGAAGCAAGTAGCTTTGAGGTCCACCAATTAACACGCTGTAAAAGACATTTATATCGAAATAAAACCAGCTGGTCACAAATGCCTGTGCAGGCATCGACAAGCGTTAGAAACAGTGGTCGAGTGTTTGTTCCTCGCGATGTAAATGGGGGTTGCATACACTATAGTACCTTAATTCCCGGCGCGTCGTTGGTAGACGAGGCATTCAATAATTATGCATGTCCTGATCAAACTTTATTTCTGGATACTGGGTACACAAGACATAGTCGCATTTTCCCTTGGGAGTATTGTGGAGTACACTTGGAGTTGCCCTCACTGATCAGCGAGTCATCTATGTACTCCCTCTCAGTAACAATTTTTCTTATTTTAGTGGACAAGTAAAGCAGGTGGAGCGATACTTGAAAGTTGTCTAATCATCCCTGCTAAGCTAAGGATACTTCTTTTGCAGCTGAGCGAATGCGAATACTGAGGTCCAGCTTCTATACTACGTTCTTAGTAATATTTTTAGCATGAATATGTTACAGTTAGAAGCTTACTCAAAACCACTGTGTGATTGATGTGTGTTCCTTCTGTAATCGCATTGCTCCCTGGCCGAAGATATTCAATCGTTTTTCATCTTTAGAAGGTTGGAGGCGCTTTCACCATTTTTGATGAGTAATCTGGGTA